AAATGTGGTTAAATAAGAGTTTTGCGCTTGTTTGCATCAATATATATAAGATATTACTGCAGGGAAACCAGGACTGATTAATAGGTGAATTTTACTGGCTTTTGTGTAATCAAGATATGGTATGTTTAATGAATAAGTCAGTTGGGCTCTGAGGGAATTGAATTTATTGGAAGCTAGGAGGTATTAGCCTGACGTAGTCCGACTCAATTCTAGTCAGAATATGAGTCTGATACTGCTCCATAGAGCTGTGATTATGGGGCGTGTTTCGAACGAACCAGGAAAAAAAATGCCTCTGCACTCAATTGGATAGACCTACAACCAATAAGAGCAACGGAGTGCGTGACGTATGTTAAGTGAGGCATAGTTGTTGTCCACAAAAATCAAAGCGTGCAGTTGCGCGCCTAGAATAAGAAGATGAGACTTGATCGCGTTTCTCTGTTCCTCTTTTAAAATTAATTTGCTGTCGATATCTTCTAGAACAGACCTAAAAGCTGAATCTACTCACCTAAACTCTCCAGCGGCAGCCATTATTGTTGTCACCCAAGCGCGCATTGGTCACGTGGTTGATTACGTTACTGTTGATCATCTGTCCATCATCGTATAAAGCCCGCCCTGACAATTTGATTGGATCGCCAGAGGGTGGGCGATCATACTCGCGCTACTATGGAGCAGAGCCAGACCGAACTTCCCGACCTCAAACTTTGTGGGCGGGACTAAGTTCGGAATGGCACCCAGGCTAAGGAGGTATAACAATTCAAAGGGTTTTTATGTGCACCTCTTGTCAAATACAAATTTAGTAAAAAGAGGTTACAGTCATAGAATATTTTCAGAGGGTGCTAGTTGGCTTAAACATCCTTTAAATGAAAAAAATATCTCAATTATCATTTAACTTAATTGCATATTATCATAAGACACCTTGTTTAGTGTATTTTGGTTTTAAACCCCTTTTAAGCTAGTTAAATCTGATGTAACTCAACAGCTTAGGACAGCTGATCTAACCAAAATAGAATTCAGTTTCCTCCTGCAAGTAAATATTTATCACGCATACTTATTCATTTAACCACATTTTCTGCCAAAAGATTTGATAACTTGGAATAATCGGATGTTGATGCAGATACATAGTGTAGTGTCGCTGCATAACATCTCATAACAGATGACTCAATTTTGTTCCAGAATAAAAAACTATGCATAAAGTTAAAAATATTATAAGGGTAAATTGACTTAATGGTGCCTATACTTAAAAACACATCTGAGCACAAAATGTAAGTGAAATTGACTTATGACTTAAAAAAAACATAGAGATAAAGAGTATCACTGCAAGGTTTCCTATATTTGGGTGCAATTATTGGACTTATATGCTGTTGCTTGGCAAAAAAAAAAAAAGCCTGCCTTGTTTATGAAGCATTAAACCACCCACCACTGATTATAACAGACTTTTAATTAACATCATGAGAAGCCAAGGAGTCCTGAAGTTTGGTATTTAAAGTATGGACGTATCAGACTCTAGAAGACAGTCGGCCATTTTTTAAATTCTAAAGGCCTCTGTTTTTTTTTTTAAAGGAACAGGCTCAGGAACATTTATTTCAGTTTCTAAACTTAAACCACATTGATTCATAGAGCACTTATGGTGTTAAATCAAAATGCCTTTCAAATCAGCATCTTTTTTAGAACCCTGCTTGTGTAAACCTTGTAGAGTTCTCAGATAACCAGAGCTCTTTTTGCCAATGTTCCAATGACCAATGACTGTTGCTCTAAAACTATCTGAACACATATGAAGTTTTCAGGGGGTTGACTGTAGAGCTAAGAGGAATAACTTCCTGAGAGGGACTCGCCAAAAACCTGACAAACATTTTATTGCAGCTTTCCAATTTAAAATCAAAATATTTAACAGCATCATTTTTAGCTGCATGTTTATTGCATGCTTGGTTTTCCAATATTATCTTTCCTTTATTGTGATTTTCTCCTTTTGCTTTCCTTAATATTCCTGTAAAACACATGAGTGACATTGTATATGAGTTGTACCATATAAAGAAAAACTGTTTTTTTCATGATTTCCCATCATAATAACACTACATCTACTCTACTCTACAGGTGCTGGTCATAAAATTAGAATATCATGAAAAAGTAGATTGATTTCAGTAATTCCATTTAAAAAGTGAAACTTGTATATTATATTCATACATTACATACAAACTCATATATTTCAGATGTTTATTTTGTTTAATTTTGATGATTACAAATGACAACAAATGAAAATCTCAAATTCATCATATCAGAAAATTAGAATATTACTGAAGACCAATAAAAACAAAGGATTTATAGAAATGTTGGCCAACTGAAAAGTATGAACATGAAAAGTATGAGCATGTACAGCACTCAGTATTTAGTTGGGCCTCCTTTGGCCTGTATTACTGCAGCAATGCGGCGTGGCATGGAGTCGATCAGTCTGTGGCACTGCTCAGGTGTTATGATAGCCCAGGTTGCTCTAATAGTGGCTTTTAGCTCTTCTGAATTGTTGGGTCTGGTGTATTGCATCTTCTTCTTCACAATACCCCATAGATTTTCTATGGGGTTAAGGTCAGGAGAGTTTGCTGGCCAATTAAGAACAGGGATACCATGGTCCTTCAACCAGGTACTGGTAGCTTTGGCACTGTGTGCAGGTGCCAAGTCCTGTTGGAAAATGAAATCTGCATCTCCAAAAAGTTGGTCAGCTGCAGGAAGCATGAAGTGCTCTAAAACTTCCTGGTATGTGGCTGCGTTGACCCTGGACCTCAGAAAACACAATGGACCAACACCAGCAGATGACATGGCACCCCAAACCATCACTGACTGTGGAAACTTTACACTGGACTTCAAGCAACGTGGATGAAGTGCCTCTCTTCTTTTCCCCCAGACTCTGGGACCTTGATTTCCAAAGGAAATGCAAAATTTACTTTCATCAGAGAACATGACTTTGGACCACTCACCAGCAGTCCAGTCCTGTTTCTCTTTAGCCCAGGCAAGACGCTTCTGACGCTGTCTGTGGTTCAAGAGTGGCTTGACACAAGGAATGCGACAGCAGAAACCCATGTCTTTCATACGTCTGTGTGTGGTGGTTCTTGAAGCACTCACTCCAGCTGCAGTCCACTCTTTGTGAATCTCCCCCACATTTTTGAATGGGTTTTGTTTCACAATCCTCTCCAGGGTGCGGTTATCTCTCTTGCTTGTACACTTTTTTCGACCACATCTTTTCCTTCCCTTCGCCTCTCTATTAATGTGCTTGGACACTGAGCTCTGTGAACAGCCAGCCTCTTTAGCGATGACCTTTTGTGTCTTGCCCTCCTTGTGCAAGGTGTCGATGGTCGTCTTTTGGACAACTGTCAAGTCAGCAGTCTTCCCCATGATTGTGTAGCCTATAGAACTAGACTGAAAGACCATTTAAAGGCTTTTGCAGATGGTTTGAGTTAATTAGCTGATTAGAGTGTGGCACCAGGGGCCATCAATTTTGAACCTTTTCACAATATTCTAATTTTCTGATATGATGAATTTGAGATTTTCATTTGTTGTCATTTGTAATCATCAAAATTAAACAAAATAAACATCTGAAATATATGAGTTTGTATGTAATGTATGAATATAATATACAAGTTTCACTTTTTAAATGGAATTACTGAAATCAATCTACTTTTTCATGATATTCTAATTTTATGACCAGCACCTGTATATTAAGGTTTTGATGTAATCAGGCAAAAAAACTGTCTATAAAGCAAACAAGCAGGAGGGTAAAACATCTATAATATATGGTATTTTATTTCAGATAAGAAATTGACAAGCACTCATTAAGCAACATATTAAAACATTTGTGCCATCAGTCTAAACTCAAGATGGCTCCTTAAAATAAATACTTTTTAAGAGGAAATAATACAGAGAGAACAGGCTCAAACCACACAGACAAACAAATTACCAAATGTTCAAAAGACGAATGGGTCTGAAAACTCCCAAAGTCAACCCCGACTCTCCAACATAAAGAGTTTGTATAAAACATTTAAGCATCTTTAAAAATACAGAATCTTACAAAAAAAGGGTTTTTATCTCCTTGCTTTCTCATGTCACTGTAAAATATCAGCTGGTATCATGACAAGAAATCAAGAATCCCTCCCCCCTCCATGTGGAATAATAAAAAGACAGAATGTGCTTCTGCGTTCTTACATCAGTATTCACATATATCATAAGTAAACCGTGTCATCAAAGTCCTCTTAGGTCCTGGTGGTGCTTTGATGGAAACGGGTGTTTAGCAAAGGGCTGCTCAACATTGTCCCTTTGAGCTGAGGTGTCAGCAGTGATGATGTCAGAGATGCAGTCAGTCCTTCACACCAAGCATCTTAACACCTTTTATTCCCCTTGTGTGTAAAACAGTACATTTAATCCAAATGTTCATTGTCTTTATAGGTTATACCACCAAGGGTGTTCACATTTTAGTAAAAAAAAAAAAAAAAAAAAAAAATCTGAAAAGCTAACTTTTGACAGTTGTCAACTTTTAAATGGTAACAAAAAAGTTAGAGAATAGTCATCAAGTGAGGATTTCAAGAATACATCTTACATTAAAAAAGAAGGTGAGAGCCAGGTTTTGACGTAGGAAGCATGCGTTCGCCCTGCTCACCCTTAAAACCCTCATGCGAAGACAAACTATGTAAAAGGCCACATGGCTTTTCCTTCACTCTTAAATGCACGTGCATTCGGACTGTTGGGAGGAGACTGATGAAAGGTGCTTTAACTGCTCTTGGTAGTGTAAGAACTCCATTATAAAAGTTAAGGATGTGTTTGGTAAATCAGAGGTCTCCTGAAATGATCCGAGCTCTGGTTAGAACCAACACAAGAGAGGGCTATCTGGTTTCTGCTAAGGTAACAACAGATGTTTAGTATTGTTGCGTATTGTTTTTAATGCCCTCTTCTTTTGTAACATAAAAAAAAAAAAAAAAAAATAAAAAAAAATTCAGTTTTTCTGGGTTCTGGCTTTTCTCTTTCTTATCATAGATAGTAACCGGCGTAGGTTTCATTGTAAGCACATTTTTAAATCAAATTATCTATTATGTTTAATTTTTTAAAATGTAATAACCAATTTATTTATTTATCCATTTTCATTTCTTCCAGGATCTGTGGGTTTGTTCGAGGAGATACTGGGATGTAAACAAAAGGCATGTGGGCATGAGGTTTAATCAGCTTGGTTCCATCTTCAATGGAGAATGTTTGAACTTTTCCAGAGCTTCTTTTAGCTTACAGATGCCCCTCCACCTTATTTCTACATCATTACCACATTTGTTTAGGTTGGTACTGCAGAAAAAAAATAAAAATTAAAGTATAACTCAAGATAAACACTCTAGGCACTGTTTGATTTCAAAGGCTTTACATTGTAGAGGGCGATTACAAGGTCAGCAAATATAAAGAAACTCAAATAAAAAACGAAAAGTCAACGAGTGACAGTTCTGCAGACCAAACATTTCCCCCTCTAGTTCCTTAAAGTCAGCTCGTACAACCAGACTCCCTTTAAGCTCCGGGGTGGAGAGGCTGTGAGGGCAGGAAGTATATAAAGGGTAAATGTTTTGAAGTTTTTAAGGTTAATTATTAGTTCTGGTCTTTAACCTTTCTTTCTCCTTCATAACAAAAAATAAAAACAATGGATCTTAACCCATTATCTTCTGGGGAATATCTATAGAAGCCTTGATGAAGATGCAGTTGTCTCGGATGTAGTTCCTCTTCTTGATTTCTTCGTGTGAGATGAACTTGGGATAGCCGAAGCCCAGGGTGCTCTCGTCCAGCGAGTTGCGGCTGCTGCTGGGCTTCTGGAAGTTCTTCCAGTTGGGGTCGGGGTTGAAGGTCTCTGTGATATGCTGAGGTTTGGAAAGAGACGGGTCGCTCTGGTCCAGGATGGAGAACGTCACCTTGTAGGAGAACGGCCACTCTAGTAGGTTGTCGTACTCCCCCGGTAGAACGCGGATGTAGACGGACAGATGGGAGCCCTCGCCGCTGCCGTTGCCGTTCAGGAAAGCTGACACCTGCAGTTTGTAACCGTAGCGGTGAGTGTAGAACGGTGGGCTGAAGAACTCGTGGTTGCTCCGGAGTTTGGCTTCCTGCAGTTTGCGAGAGTAGTCACTGAGTTTCCAGATGAGGACACCGTCTTGGCTGACCGACAGCTCCTCCATCTCTCTTCGCAGCTCTAGAATTTCTTGCCTTTGGCGTCCAACCAAGTTACACATCAGGGTAAGGTGGGACTTGGTGGTCTCCTCCAGGTGACGGCCAATAGCCAGTTTAGGGCACTGTGGAGAGAAAACAGATGAATCATGTCTAATTTTTCATCTGAAAAGTGCTCATGCTGATAAACAGCTACGTTATTGGAGTCCTGTGTTATTTAACATTATAGATTCTAAATACATTAGATTGAATTTATCTTTTATTCAAATAAAATACCACAGAGTTATTGTTACCAAGCTGACATGTGTTTAAAATGATTGTTTAAGCTCAGGAGCTGCTCCTTTGCAACTTTAACACCTCTGAAATGTAAGAAATCATAGGGATATTACCTGGTAGGATAATTGACCACTTAAGTTTTCCATAATCTAAAGGAAATTTAATGTATTACTTTTATATTTAAGTTTGTTTTTACTTTAAGCTTTTTAATTTTTTAAATATTTTTCCAATGAGGAAAGCTTAGTTATATAGTAATCATTTTCTAGTTTAAAGCTTTTACTAAAAATGAATTTGTAGCTTTTGATGGAGGCCAAACGTCTAGGAAACTAGATAGGAAACCAGACTTAATTTGCTCTTTATTGGGGAGTGCTTATTTTCTACAGGTATCTGTGTGCTTCCACCTGACCATAACTTTGTCCCTGATATATCTGGACCCTTCTATGATGGACAAATGAAGGATTCTTCTATTATTGTCTATATAAAAAATTTTAAAAGCACTAAATTGTCCTTTTTCCTGAGCTATATCTTATATCTGTTTATATCTTTAAATATGGACAATAGATGTTGTGTCACTTATAAATGTCTATTCTGTTATCTAAGCCATAAAGGTGCCAAACAGAAGCATTAGGCCTAGCTACCAAGGCCACAAAAAAAAATGTGATTTAAAAAAAGCATCCTGGTGAATGATTAACACTAATAGCTGTGTTACAATGAGAATTCCTCCAGAGATGGGGGGTTTCAGGAGAACGGACAGAGGTCAGCCTTACCCTGTGTTTGCAGCCGGCATCTTTGAAGGGACAGAGGACAAGCGCATTGCCGCAGTTGTCCTTCACGTGATTGGCCAGGTCCTCCCGGGCGATGTTAGGAGTGCCGCACTGGTTTGGACACTGGACAGGGAAGCGTGGGCAGTGATATTGGTGGTTCTATAAAGATAAGAATGAAAACAATAAACATTTTGTTTTGTTTTGACAACAACTAATTTCAAATACAACAAGGATAAACTAAATGGCAGATAGAAAACCTTTCATCAACTAATATTGTTAACATTCTTTGACCCGATTGTATTCTAAATTTAAGCTAACAGGCATGCATTTAACTGGGTAATTGAATTGTGCTTAATAGAAAATAATAAAAATTGCATTTTGTAAAATGCTATTAAAACTAAAGAGATGAGCTTAAATGAACGAGTTGATCGAGCAAGAAGTATGTGTAAAGAATCAGACAGCAGAAATCATTAAAATGGTCAGAAGAGTGAGAATAGTTGCATTGATCACACTATAGTGAAAATCCAGAACAATACACAACATCAGCTGTTTCACACTGCGATCCAGATTAGTTTAGTTCAGCACGTCTTGACCTAGTATGTGAGAGGAAGGGAAATCATTGCGTTCCCTTTTGTCAAAGAAGTGCTGAGAGGAAGGTGCTTTGAGTTAAAAGCATTAATGGCAGCATCCAGCTGGAGAAGGACAGAGACACCCTGAATGGAAACATCCTGCTGCTACAGCACTTCTTTGACCTTCTTTGCTCTGCTGAGGCCTCAGACAGAAAGCTGCTGCAGTGATACTTTCATGAAAAGAAATGCATCTCTGTCCGTCGTCATGTCAGATATGGGTTGGCTCTTATTCACCATTTAAACATTTTTATAAAAAACAGTTTTTGGTCTTTTGCTTCATGTGAAACCCACCTGGATTGTGTCGAACACAAATTCTTTTCCGCAGTACTTGCAGGGCTGTGTGCGTTTGGGACACTCGGCCATGCTGTGTTGGGACAGCAGGCGACGCATCATCCTCGCCCCACATTTATTCTCACAGTAAACGCTCTCCTGAGGACACACACCCTGGTGGTTCTGGGAAAAATAACAACAAAACATGAAACAACAATGTGATTAGGGAATCTATCAATTATATAAATATGTAAAAAAAAAAAACTGACTGAATGAGGAAGGGTGTGGAAAGGAAGGAAATAAAGAAAAGATGAAAGGACAGGTGAGGGAAGAGGGATTACAACTAAACATGGAATAGAAAAGGGATTTCCATACTCTTGTTTTTATTCTTTATTCTGATTTTTTTCCAGACTGCATAGGAGCCTTTAGTATTTTAGTTTGGAAAGGTGGTTTTGAAGCTGAGTTTTTTCTTCCAACAGGATGTCAAACTGAACATTCTGAAACTTGCTTTCCGAGGTCTGAAAAGCCACTTTATGACTTTCAACAACATATACTGAGTTTAAGCAGTGAATGTTCCAAAAACTAATGAACCAAACCTTCCTAAAACATGTCTTTAACGTTTGATATAATTGTGCATTTGAAAGAGGAAGGCAGATTGAGTCATTCTGGAAAGGTGTGCAGAGTAAACAGGGCAGAGTCTGGATTAACAGAAGTGCCAGTGAGCAGCATGAGGCGCCTCAGCTCACTCGCTAGCAGGAAAAAAAAAAAAAAAAAAAAAACACCTCTTAGTATAAGAGATGCAGTCAAAGTTTAGTTGAATTCCTCAAGCACTTATGTTAGCGGAAATATTTTTCCTAAAACTCAGACGCACAGCTATTTCTTTCATTTGACATCATGAGTCATCTTTCCATGTATTTTGCCATCAAAACTGTGTTTACCTCGTAAGCCTCGCCGGTAAACTCGCTGCCACAAAACTCGCACTTGACCTTGCGTTTAGGGCAGTCGTGCTGCAGGTGGTCCGGTAAGTCACGGCGGGTCAGCTTTACGGAGCAGCGGTTGGGGCACGGTATCACGTTGAAGGCGCAGGTGGAGAAGTGGCCCTGAAGAAAACATACAGACATGTTTAGCATATTTACTTCATGTGTTGTTGGGCACTGAAGCAAGTGAGTGAGAGAGGAGTGGAGGAGGTAAGAGCTTCTTCTCACCTGCAGCTGCTTCATCTGTCCAGTCCAGCGGCAGCCCTCTTCGCTGTGGATGCAGCGGATGGGCAACGCCAGAATCTGCTGCTCCAGCTCTGGGTCTGGGTAGATCTGAGGGTAAAAAGGTGGCATGGAGTCAGGGTAGTAGATTTAATCAACAAATATAGACACACAGCAACCTCCATATTTATACACCTTTGTTCAATAAAAAAAAAAGAAAAGTAATTCATCTTTTTTTTATGTTTTTGATCTCTAACGATGAGCCATTTTCCTCTAGTCATTTCCAAAACCCTAGACTAACACACATCATCCCAGGGCTGCATGATTGATTTATTAATTCCAATTCCCTGCTAAAACAGAAGATGGGAAAACAAATTTTTTCCCCACTAATGTACTGCTTGGGCTTCCGTATTTCAGAGTGATTCCTGCCCGCCACCTTGTCCTCTTAGATGCATACTTGAAAGTGATAAAGCAGCTCATGGTGTAAGAGCTGCCGTAGCTGCATACGTTTCTTCTTATATTTGCATCGTTTACGACGGCGGGCCTGACAACTTGCTTTTAACAGCTTTTCCTACCACTAAGAAGGAAAAGTTTTTTTCTTTAGGTTGGAATAAAAGATTTGTACATAAACTCCCAGTACTTTATCTAGACCTTTTAATTTCCATACAGGCTTATATTTACATTTTGTTCTTCCCTTATTTAAGTTGACACATTTTTTGTAGAGTTTACGCTTTATCTGATTGGAGGAAGGAGTGTTCGTAAGGTTCTTCTATTTATGGACTTTGAAACATACTACAAAGTCTAGTTTAACCAGAAACTCACTGTCAGCCAAGAAATGGTAGTAAAGAACTGCCTTCTTTTAGTTTAAAACTACACAATTATCAGCTGCAAGGCCAGATAATTGGTTTGACTGTGTAAATAACAGATATTGGAAAGAATGCATTGTTTTTACTGAGGTGCACAGAGAACTTGAGGAATTTGGCTTTATTTTCCAGGAAGAAACCATCATCATGCTGCAGCACAGTGAGTCAGAGCTGCCATTGCACTGATAATAATGAACTTTATGACTTTATGGGACCTCAGAGAAATAAGATGTAAAAAAAGGAGAGAAATATTTATCTGTGGTCACACAACAATGAAAAGGAGAAAGTATACAGCTACAATCCCCCCAAATCCTCCTGACTGGGTTGTTGTCCTGTGGCTTTAAAGTTGTGAAATTAAGCTTTGTCATCCTATCAGGGTAAAAAAAAAAGAAACTGGTCAAACAAGAAAAGCCACTTCCTAACAAATGTCACAGCAGCCCTCTAAACAAATCACAGCTTAACAGTTGCGCTTTGATCAACTGCACTGAAACTTTGGAGGAAATTGCAGTTAAATAACAAAAAAATATATAAATATGTTTAATCTTAAAACCTACAGAAATTACAGACATGTAAGAGATTCAATCCAGATTCTGAGAGGAGGCACGTTTTTTTTTTGCTGCTTTGGAAAAACTCTGGAAAAGAAGAAAAACGCTAAATCCCATAAAGCAAACTGAAGCACTCTCCCATTGTCCCAGTCTTGGAATCTGCAGGGACGGCAGCAAGCATGACCTTTTAATAACTTAGTCTCATTGGGGAGGAGGTTAAGCTCTTTGGTTGAAGATGGAGGTTTATTCTGTCTGCTGCAGCAATTTCAGCCCTTCAACACAACCAAAGCAGCAGTGGCAGCAGTACAATCCTTTAATGACTGCAGCGCTGTTCTTATGTGGCTGCATGGTTGTGTTTATGCACGTTTTTGGAAGGACAGTGTGCAACGAGCATCACGGTAACCCTGACAGGAGACCACCAGGATAGGGTAATTTGCAGGCGACTAGGAGCCTGGGAGCGCCTTGGTAAATAACAATGTCTGACAGGTGTGCCATGAACACATCCTTCCCTTGGGGGAGTCCCTGCTATTACAGGCGCCTTCATAGCTCCTAGCACCAAGCTGCTGCTGCTCTTATCCCTCTCCAGTTCAGGCTCCTCCCATTTTCCCTTTAAGTTTCTTTGCCAAAATGAATTCCTTCCTCACTGTCTCTGCAAACACTTTGCACATTTCAGGAAGTTATTTTCTTTCCTTGTTTAATCAAATAACATTAAGTGATCAGGTTTTTGTCTTCATGGTTCCTACATGACCTTCAACTCTGAGATCTATTTACCACCTAGAAATCTTATCGGCAGATGCAGGATTTTAAAATAGCTTCTTTTACAAACAGGGAGCAGATACAGTGAATAAAAGTTAGGTATGATATGACCCATATTTCTAGGTGTTAGTCAGAGATCTCGCAGCAGCAGTTATGGACATAAAGTTACTAAAAAAATAAATAAAAAAAAGAGAGCCAAGAATGGAGCCATGAAGAACACCACATATGATCTTTGAAGATGCGTTATAAAACTACCAAATGAAGCATCATCTGAGACAATCCACAAAATACAAGATAATCCTGGCCCGAAAATCTATCGATCAGATAGATCGACTTCTATAGATCAATATAAATGTTTAAGCAACGCAGTTTAAGCAGCTGAATGTGGCAGAATATTAGACTGAGGAACGCTTATGAGATGGTTTCTGTAAAAAGGAGTAAAACCACTTTTACCTACACTGCAAAAAATATAAATCTCAATAAGTTATTTTTTCTTAAAATAAGTGTGTTTTTCCTTGATTTGAGGAGATAAGTAAGACACTTTGCCAATGGAACAAGACAATTTCCTTTTAAAATAAGAAAAAACTATTTTATCGTCTTATTTCAAGTAAATATTATCTAACTATCTTATTTTAAGAGTGAAAATACTCATTCCATTGGCAAATCATCTTATTTACCTGCTCAAATTAAGGCTAAATATACTTAATTTAAGCCATTTTTTACTTATTTCTGGATTGTTTTTGCAGTGTACATGTTTTGCAGACAAATATTCATTATTATTTTCAGTGCTTCTTCCATGTTTTTAGTTGCTTGTCTTATAGACTGAATAAGGCTAAATCTAACAGATTGCTCAAGAGAGAAACCCTGAAAGCTGAAGCAAGCTGATTCGTCCCTTATTATTGTGCTTCAGGTGCTTTTGAATGCAAAAATCATACTTAAAGAAAACTTGCCTCTGAATACAGCCTTCATCTCTCTGCCATCTAAAGACAATCTGTTTAACTACTGTACAGGGGTAACGCTGAAACATATTTCTCAAGATCATGATCCTGCGTAATGATACAAAGTACTACCGGTACCTCAAACTGTGTGAAAACCTGTTTTACTGCCTTTATGGGTTACAGAAAATCTGAGACACAGAGATTGAGGTTTTTACTGCAACATTAAGTCAAAGCCAAGGGATCAAAAGAGCTGTTCTCTTAACCAATCAGAGCCTGATGGGTTGATATGAGTTCTATACACAGATACCAGATGTTAGCAGAGCTCGTCAGGTTCACACTCACAGCCTCACTGGATTTAAAACAACTGCCCGTCTACTCTGGGGTCAGATATTTGTCCTTGTAGGACCAGATGCTTGGAATTTTCCTAAGAAAAAATGTGTATTAGCTTTATCTTGATTCTGCCATTTTAACTTTATTTTCATCTAAAAAGCAAACAAAACAGTGGCAGTGACACAAAGGACCCATTTCTAATGATAAAATGCCCCGATTGATGCGATTACAGCAATGCAATGTGCAGCGACGGTCACCTAAGATGAAAATCTGAACGTTTTACTCTTTTTTTGAGTCGCAGCAACCAATAGGGATGGCTGTGATGGTGGAACAGCGCAGATTAAAAATAGCGTTAATATAGGATGAAGTAAGAAATTATGCTAAAAGGATGTTTGCTTTAAAAAAAAAACTGATTTATTTTAGCCTTAGAAAGGTCAATAAAATCTTTTATCATTCATCCTCCTCTTGTTGCTCTGAAGATGGCATCGGCCACCTGTGGCTGGCGTCGCGCTCCAATCTACCGCTATCCTTCTCTGCTCTTCGGCTGTCTTCCTTAGCTTCATAGTAGCGCACGGCCAAATGCCTCTGCCCCATTCTAGTTCACTCTCTACACAGGTCCGTGTTCTGATCTCTCACTCCAGCCTCACCTTGCCTCTAGTATCTGGGTGATACTCCCCCAAAGCCAAATAGTTTCCAGTCCTGGTCAGATTGAAACGACGTGGAAATCAACCTTGATCCAGTCCTAGCTTCTGGACTCCCCAAACTAGGAACATCGCTGCAGGATCTGGTGGAGCTGATATTTGACTCTTATTGGCTGACTCTGTAGAATCCAGTTCCGCCATGCGGAGTTGAACCCACAACCGGCAGATAGATAGAAACTCCTATAAAGCAACAGGTGTGGTGCTTCTGGCCATACTTGTGTAAATATTTTTACCATTGATTTATCTCAAGGTTCTCACCATGAGAATCATATAGTGGCCCACGGCTAAACCACAGACAACTTGAACTGGATTTAATGAGTACCCAACTCATGTGACATAAGACGGGAGGCCTGATTGGAACTAATGCATGTTACTGCTTGCTGTAAGCTGCAAATATGTGAGAGTGAACATTAAAAAAGGTGTGGGCTGCCCAAAGCAAAGCTAAATGCTCATCAAATGAGCATAAATACATTAAACCTGGCAAGATTTGCTAGCACAATAACTGAGTTTCTCCTGTGAAGTCATGAGGTGGTGCATTCATACCTTGGCATAGTCTAACGGCAGTTGGTCCTCTGGACATTTGAAGACACCCTCACTGTAAAAAAACAGGAAAAAAAAGTTTTATATTAAAAACAGACTATTGCACAGTAGAGGCATTACATACAAACCACTGACAAATGATCCACAAGCTCAGATAAAAAGACTGCATGAGCAGCAGAGCACAAACTTTGAGTCCTTTCAAGCTCCCCCTTAATCTGAAAACTCCTCTGACTCATCAGGCTGTGTGACGTAAAGAGCGCACACTTTTACATCCACAATGAAGCCAGAGCCGAGAGCAACAGACTTTAATAAGCCCTTTCATCCTCTAAACCGCAGTGTGCTCTGTGCATCGGTTATGGAACGACTCCAGAGAAAGCTAAAAACGTCTGTTGATGTTGCTCACTTATAAGAAATCAACTATATCCATGGCCTTTCACCCCTGTCTGTGGTTCAGTTCATATATCTGTAGTTAAGAAGTAATGAAATAATTATGTGGCTTTGATCAAACTGAGATTTTTTTTTTTTTTAGAAGCAAAACTGTGTTTTCATTTCCTAAAAGATTCCCCTTAGTAGATACTCTAAAGGCCCTCTGTCTGACAGTGGTATGGTGTTTTAATAAATTAAACCAAAAAAAAAGTGCTACTAATCGGTGATGGAACAGGGAGAGTTTTGTTTTTCAAACCAGAACTAAAAGTGTGACCTTCCTTTACAACAACTGCGCCGCCAGAAATTCAAAGTTCAACTTAACACCAGAAATAAAGACAAGAGTGGACAATGTATCTGCATGAACGTCACTATCATCCAATGAGGTTAGAAGAACTGGGCCTAAATCAATAAGTTAATGTTTGATTCTGGGGGGGGAGGGGAGGGAATTGGCCACTAGGAGTCTTAAGGATTATAGCAAAGCATGAAAAAGTCCTGGCAGATCCCTAGCAATAGATTATTTTTACAGTATTGAAAAAGTAAGAAAAACAATATATTTATAATATTGGTTTTTGGCCCTTACAGAAATAATTAACATAAACTTTATTTACCCATAACGTCCTAATTTTCATTTTAGTATCCTCTTTTTGTTTTAGTGAACTAGAGGTAAATAAAATGCACATGGGCTTTCAAAAGCCAACATTTCCAACATGTATTTATTTTTATCCTGGGTGAAGGACAGGCACAAAGGAACAGCTAACTGTGAACTGGAAGGCATCCCTGCAAGCTTTGCTTCTAACACAATTTTAATGTGAATGTTGCTAATTTTGCTTTGCAGAAATTGCAAAAAACTTAATTAGATGGAGTGGAAATCATGTCTGATCGTACATGTTCACAATTGGATTTAGGTTTGGACTTAAAGTGGTCCACTCTAATGCATCCATATATGCAAAAGAAAATCATTTCTCCCCAGAAGGTTTGATTAGAAATCGCTCTGCAAGGTTTAATGTGTCCCTCTACATTATTTAAGCCAGAGTAAAGACTGAACTTCTTGGCTTCCTGATTTAATAAATACCAGTTAACTAGTAGTTGTCTATTCAACTGATTTTTTAAATCCGCTAGGAGAATACCTGATGGTCATCCAGAGTTAAAAAGCATCTTTGCTGCTTACTGATGCTCTCGTGATCGCGACGTCTATATCTACATAAGTTTGCACTTGTCAAATACGCTCTGTCATTATGGCAAATTGCTCGTAACTTCTTCAAGGCTTCATCTCTTATTGAACTGCCGCGTATCCATGATGCTCTTTGTTTAAAACTTTTTGTGATTATACTGAGGTTAAAGTTAGTAGTTTAAATGTGAGACAATTAAAAAAAGTTAAGAATTATGAATACTTTTTGCTTTGCACAATAGTATAATAACCTAGCGGCATAATCTGACTTTCTGCATAAAGAAGCCCTCTTAACCCAGATGCCTGAATTATGCCTAAACTAATTAGGGAAGAGGACTGCTCAAAGAGGGTTTGCCTTTTAGTGCTTTAATTCGGTCAACAGTGTCACCTGACCTCAACTCCCTGGGGCAAAGAAACATGTGACAAGCCGGGAGTGCATGTGCACTTCACTCTATCTACCCAGCTGTGGAGCGAGCCTGCTGTTGATGGTGATGCGAGGGGGATGGGAGCAGAGGTCAGGCCTGAGAGCGAGGGAGGGTTGATGGAAAGAGGGGCGGACGAGGGAGGTTAATGCATGACGGGACAGCAGTAATTCTTCTCCATTAGGGTTAGTGTGTCAGCAGTGAGCTGGAGACCAATTAACAAAACTACCACGGGCCGTGAGGGAGGGTCAATCGATTAGAAGCTGCAAGAGTCCACTCAGCATCTCTTGTGTGAAACCATTTACTGAACTCATCATCATAACCGAGGAGCTGCGACAGCCAGCTCTGGATGTCCCGCAACTCTAAACCTGAGGGAGATAGCAAGTGACAGTTCCTCTGCTTTGGATGGGGGCGATGCAGGCAGAGGCAGGAGAGCAGCCCTAGGGCCCCTATCCAGCTCAGGCCCCGAACTCAGAGACACAGAGATGAAGAAAGGCGTAGAAAGAGCAGAGTCACAGAAAGTCAGGATCATTTCCATCCCTTGTTGCAGAGAAGATCCTGTAAGCATGCAACAACATAACATGCCTCAAGAGTCGAACTCGTGACCTAGTGAAACCACAGTTGTGTGGTACAGCAACAATTCAATTGTTTATAGTTTCAGATAGAGATGCACATGGAAACAGCTCGTTACCAGAATTAGTTCATTTAAAGGTTGATCTGATTGGTTAGAACTGAATTCACCATGACTTAGTGCTACTGTGCCATTCTAGGGAAGCTCTTCAATCTAATGGCTCTTACTAAATAAAGAAGAGATCATGAAGATTTCTCTGTGAAAGCATTTCAAAAGCTTGACCAGGACTGGTGCTCAGACCAACTTTAAGCTAAACAAGCACAGTGCATAGATGCAGTCTAACAGGAAACTTTTTTTTTTTCCATTTCAATATCCCTGCAAACAGATGACCTGATATCACCCCCTTATTTTACCAATGCTCTTTAAACAAGTGGTGGTAAACATTTCTAAATCCTTATCAGATCATCTCGGATCTGATCAGTACCAGCAGTGCTACAAAACAGCAACAGCATTGACAGCAAGATTTATTAACACTGTCCGCCAATAGAAAAACACTGGCAGATATAGGAAATTACTCTGAAATGATGTTTATGGATTCAGTGTGTGAAGAAAATACAACAGTGAGTGGATGATGCTAACCTGACTTTTAATAAAAGCTGAACCCTTGGTTCTTTTAGTTCCTTTTTGGAGTTTACATCCAAAATTACGAAGATTCGAAATGAAACAAAGAATATTTGGGTTTAAAAATCATACATACACACTAATGTTTTTAGTGGAGGAGGCTGCCACAAGTTCCTGACAGAGGCAGTTCTTTCCCTATCGGCAGAGGTAGGAAAAAGCTGTTTTTTCAGTATAAATGACCACTCTTGTCTCAGCGAAAATATAAAGTGCAAAATACACAACAAAAGAAGATTAGGTTTGGGGAAAAAAAGTAAGAGAAGTAAGGGAAAGCAGAAACGGGTATCGGGATATTAAAGGAAAAAAAAATGTAACAGTATTTTCTTTAAAATGTAAAAAAAAATGTGCATCTTATTTGCAAGAGAGAGAGAGGGCAGAACTTTTAATATACGACTAAATCAAGGACAACAAAGATGAAACATGTCTTTTTAGACAACCTTTGTTTCTCAACCTTTGTTAAGAAACATGCTGGATGTGAAATGAACATTATGGGACATTAAACGGCTAGAATAACAACTAGTATATGATGTTAAAGATGGTTTAAAATGTAAACACAGAAATAATTCAGTCTTTGATCTAAAAAAGAAAAAAATAGGAATCCTTAATAATGGCCACTCACTGCAAGAAAGCCTAAAAAAGATAATAATGCAGTCATTTATTTTTACATCATAGTTTAGCAAGATAGCAAGATAAAATCTGTATCGTTATATTTCATAGTTTTATAAAAGCAGGAGCTTTTCTGATTAGTGCATCTCTTCATAAAGGCTGAATCTCTAACCTCAGATATTCTTCTAGTACGAATTGAATAATGCTTCACTGGTGAAATATTGTCCCTAACACTTGCAGAAACCAAAGCATCTAAACCACGTTATGACGAAATGTTAGCAGCGTTTACTGCCAAGTCAATGAGCGTCCGGGGACAAATTCATCAGCCAGGCACCTGTGTTGGGATGAGATGTCACAGGGAGCAGCTCAGACTGGACTACATACAGTATAATACAATCACCTCATTAAAATTTAACCACCTCCCTCTGTTTGCCCAGCTGCTGAGATGCTCTCCCCTCTAACCGCCCTTTCTCTCTCTTATCCTCAAATCTTCTTAGGCAGGGTCCGTTCATCCAGCTGATATCACGAGCAAAGCCGTCGCAACATACTTCGTCCCTCTGCACACAGGTCCTGATAGGCAGACGGGGAGAAGCACAAATCCCTCAGGTTTAATCTCACCTGTGCAGAGCGAATCATAGGGAGGGGAGGGGGGGTTTCAAAGTGACAGCCACCAGCCTGCGGGCCACACATAGAGGACAAGTTGGCGACAGTCTGCTACGCTGCGTGGGACCCCTGGGTAACCTTGAAGCCTGATCTATGGACTGACAGAGAGACTCCTAAACAAACCACCGTGTTTGCCAGAACGATCGGTGAGTCGCACTGAACAAACTGATCAAAAGACTGAAGCACAGTAACAGGCTAAACGTACTCCTGACTCAGGCGGCTTCATCTCAACCGCCAACCCAACCCAAATAGCTCTCATCTTCATGATAAACCTTCGTTTCTTTTCAAGTTCCAACCAGGATTAACTTTCATTTTCCCAAACAGAAGCTGCCTGCAGGCCAAAACTGAACTCTCTGCCTTCGCTCAGGAAGTTTGGAAAGAAATAAAACTCCTGCTCAATCTTATGTGTGCTTACTGTAATTCCTCAAAAATCTGTGTGAAAAGTCAGGATTTGCTTTTTTCTGATCCTCCTGTTTATATCAATAAGGAGAGTTGTTTTCATAGAGACGCCCAGAAGCCTG